ATATATATATATATATATATATTATATTATATTATATAAATTATATTTTTTTTAATATTACATATGCCAGCCAATTTCAGTTGGAGCTTGAAAACATACTGCAACTGCGTTCCGTTTTATAATCTTGAAGCAGTTAGAAAGCGCACGAAACTAAAACGGAACGAGCAGTACACTTCCATTACGTCATAGCATGATCACTCGGAATGAATAAAGGAACGCACCCATAGTCAAAGGGTCACGTTACTTCCGTAGGATTGTCGGTCTTTAATGGTATCTCGTCGTGTTGGTACTGATTTTTGTGTTTTGGCAGCATTGTCACAGATTTTATGTACGCATGTTTTTTTACGTGAAGCTAATAACATTTTGAGACTCTTGTTTTCGAGAACTTTGGTCTCAGCTTTCAAATAAAATATTAGAGATATAATTGACATTTATTAATTATTTTATATATTATTTATTTTCTGTCAAAATGAGATATGCTCAGCTAGTAATGGGTCCGGCCGGCAGTGGCAAGGTAATAAATTTAAATTGCATCTTTTTTTAATTTATATTAATTAAATAACATGATTGACTAATAACCGAATGGGGCAGCTTTATTAATATTTGAATTTATCTCAATTTTCGAAACAGTCCACATATTAGTTCGATTATGCAACGACACGCTGCTGACTCCAGAAAGACTGTAGATGTTGTGAATTTAGATCCAGCAGCAGAATATTTCAATTATGAACCTTTAGCGGATATAAGAGAATTGATTCAATTGGACGATGCCATGGAAGATGATGAGTTTAATTTTGGACCAAATGGTGGACTTGTATTCTGTATGGAGTAAGTTGGATTTGTTATATATATATATTTTTTTTTCATAATTATGACTTTTCATATAATAAAGTCATATTACTTTTTCAGGTATCTAGTTGAAAATGCATCTTGGTTGGAAGAGAAATTAGGTGACACAGATGATGATTACATAATATTTGACTGTCCAGGACAAATTGAGTTATATACTCATATGACTGTAATACGGCAGCTGATAGCCACCTTACAGAAACTTAACTTCCGTATATGTGGAATATTTCTAATAGACGTTCAATTTATGATAGATGCGTCAAAGTTTCTGTCAGGTACTTTGGCTGCTCTTAGTGTCATGATAAACTTAGAAATTCCACATATCAATATCCTTAGTAAAATGGACTTGCTATCAAAAAACACGCGGAAAAAATTAGACAATTATATCGATCCCGATCCATATAGTTTATTAGCAGATACAGATGGAGATCCATGGAACGAGAAATACCGCAGTCTTACAGAGAGTCTCGGTAGAATCATAGCAGATTATAGCTTAGTGCGTTTTTTGCCATTAAATATCAAAGATGAGGAAAGTATCGCGGACATAAAATTAACGATCGATAATACTATACAATATGGCGAAGATGCAGATGTAAAAACGAGGGACTTTGATGAACCATGCGCGGATAACGAAGCAGATGAATCCTAAACTCACTTTGTAAAAAAAAAAAGAAATGGTGTGTTTGTGTATATATGTGCAGTATATTTTTAAAAAATTACTAAAAAAATAAAATAGAAATAAAAAAGATGTGTTGCAAGCACAAACAGTGCTCTATTAATATATTTTACATTTAAAATTTCCTTTGTACAATATGAAATATTTTGCACTATTGAATTTCATCTATCTACGTATACATTTAATGTATTAAATACGAACATGAGACATCCGAAAGTAATGGTCGAGCCATGTGCGATGAGTGCGCTTCCTTCCCATCCTTCTTCCAGATGCTCGTTGATCCTTGTATTACGTTTTATATTACAATTGCATAAAACTTTGTCATTCCTATGCGCGTATTCTTCTAGGCAAGTTGCTTCCTCCTTATGCAGAATTGTTTTCAATATTTCGGAAGTCTCTTCCTCCTTAGTGACGTACATCATTTTATCAGTCTTTTCCTCTTTTATTTGTTCTTCTAAAACGCGAGTGTAATCGCAAGAATACAATACGTTGCCCACAATCGTTCCATACTCACTATAATTGAGCAATTCGTAACGTTGAGTCACCTGTAATAAAGATAAAAAAACAAAAAAGCGATCTTGCCGGTAACTTTTGTAATCTTTTTATAAATTCTCTATTAATAAAAAAATGTATAGCGTTTATACTTACTTCATCGAAAAATATAATTGCATGTTTAGATGAAGTGAATCCGCAGCTACCATAATTCGATAAAATTAGATCGCAGTTCGGGCCGTTACCGATAACGAAAGTTCTACAAGTCATGAACGCTGGTGGATTAGGCTTAGGGCTTAAAGAAAACAATGCGGCTCTTGCTCTTCTACGACAATTTATTGTATTATAACTTTCTCCATCCGGATTTAATATCTGCTCTAATCTCTGTTGTGCTAATGCTTCCAATACTGGCCTCTCTAACAACTGGACACCTTCTTTAACGTTATAACTGCAGTATCTCGCATGAAATTCGAGATCATTATATTCCTTAGAACTATCCGTCGTACTTTCATTCTCCACTTTACTAGTATTTTCACTCACGTTTGGCGCTTTCTGTTGATCACTTCTCTCATCTATGATAGCATCACATTTTTCTTCTTCTGTCTTTACTTTGTTACTTTCTTCAGTTTTTTTATTTTCTGTACAATTATCTTTGCTATCGTCTGTTTTATTATTATCTATATATTGCTGTTCTTCGTTTACGATATTCTTTACAGGCCATATGACACTATCTTGATAAGAATGTATTGGATCTAAATGCGGCGGATTCTTGTAATGAAATTTTACGCTACAAGGAACTTTTATTCTTGGACGACCCTCTAATCTCACCTTTGTGCGAAACAACGGATTAGCGGCACGTGCTTTACGCAGGAAGTCTAGCTTTACAGCATGTTGATCTATTCGTTGATTAGCGTACTTGTCCCAGAGCTTTATGCGTTCTGTTACTCTACAAGAAGTCAACAGATTCTGATCTATGAAGTGATTCGGATGATTGGGACACATCCACCTGCCAATGGGGAAAGCGGTCAGTGGTGGATCAAGGCAATCTTGATGAAAATATAACGGGCAGTAATCGCACGCAATTAAGGGTGCCTTTCTACAACTACGTCCACATTCAAAACATAAGCGAGCCGGCAATGGAACCATTAAATTGCTATCCAAGCAGTGACTCTTTCCAACTGGAAAAAAATATTATAATTATCATGGATATTTTAATTAATTCTATAATTACAACAATGATATTGAGATTGCAAAATATAAAATATGTCGATATTTTTATGAAAAAAGAACAGAAAGAAAAGAAAGTATACATGTCATTTACTTATTTTATCTTACCATTGTTATATGATGAGTTCAGCAGTTTACCTCTTCTGCCAGAAACATAGTCTACTTTATTACTTCCAGGAAACATAATAGGTAATTGTAATTCCTTAGGTAGTTCAAATTCTCTTGGATTTACAAGAGAAGCCGCCAGTGCCAGTACTTCCAGAGCAGATCTTTTCTTTTTCTTTTCGTTCCCTTTTGCTTCCAAAAGTCCCTCTCTCTTGGAGGCACAACGGCAGCCATAGCACAACCACTCTCCATTGGGAATATCCGTCGGATCCACCGCTGGATAGCTATCAAATAAAAGCTTTAGAATTATATCGCCTTTACAGACAGGATTCGATATTTCATAACAGTTTCCAAAATAAATGTCGATTGTTCCAGTTACACTTACTGGCATTGGAGATGATAGGAAGCTGGACATTTGTCACAGCATATGAGCTCTCCACCATCTTTACAAGCGTCGCAGAAGTCACGATTGTGACCGCGACCACGTCTCTTAAAGTATGGATGCTTCTTCTCTTCCTTTTCCTTCTTCGCTTTCGCCTTTGAATCGTCGGATATCGGTGGTGCTATGAGAGCCTGTATTTGCTAATAAACGAAAAAGATAATTTAGTGTATGAGGCACACTCGGGAGAACAAATTAGCGTAGAATTGAATCCAATGCGACATCCTCCTTCTTTTTCACTTAAGAATCCCACATTGCTTGGAATATTATCTTACCGGCATCAATCCGCCTATCATCGGAAAACCGTATTCGACGGTACTCATCTGGAATACTATAATACTTTGAAAATAAATTATTCCTCCTCTCGGTTAGCGTCTGCTCTTCCCTGTCATCTCCCGCAGTTCTGCACACACTGAAGCCCACAGTCGTGTTGGTTCTGTCGTTCTGCCGCGTGCTGCCACTGTCGCGTAGAGTCAGCAAACTCATATGTATAGCAAAATAGCATTTGATGTTACAATTAGACTTTTTGAACTCTTAATCTCCTATTTCAAGAATCATCGATCAACCTGCTGAGCGATACCTGCAATGTTCCGATAAATAGATTTTTAATTTTTTATTGCTTTATATATATATATATAGTACTATTTTTTTTCTAGAAATGTAATGCGTTCCGAAACTCGTCGAGAAGTGAACATCCTCCCGATTCGTCCATAATCTCTGTTTATTATTTTTTCATCATGTTTCATTTTCTATATTTTACGAATCTCGTACTGAGTATCCTCGAGTATTCGATCGATATCCGATAGACGATCGAGGACACCTGAATTTGGACACTTTTGAGAGAAAACGGAACGTTGCGTGACGGTTGCGAAGCACGAGTGGCGAAAACGACGAGGTGACGAGGATCATCGCGTACCGATTCGAAGTGGCGATCCGAGATTGACAGTCATGTACTCGGCGAACACACGTGCCGGCATTGCTCGCGCGTTTTACGCACACCGTGGAATGCACAACAACGCGGAGTTGGTCGAGAAGTGCACGAAAATCGTGAACCGAAATCCGCGTAACCTGGAACGGTTGAGGATAGCAAAGAAACCCGAAGGTTATTGGCTTGAGAAGCCCGGACGTACATACTGGCACAAGTAAAGTCAATTTCTTTGTTTATTGAATAATTTATAAATTGAAAGACATATTTTGAACTTATTAATTATGATGTCATAATTACATCGATTTACAGACTGTTCCTGGTCAGAAAGCTGCGCTACATCGTTGCGGAGGTCCGTCACTTTCAGAATGGACCGGTTGTTACAGCTTCTAGTGCAGAGTGGGCGCTAAAAAGGCAACTGTATCGGTACAGAGACTCAGTTCAATTTAGATTATTTATTTATTTTTTTTTAATTATCTGTTAATATAATTTGGATGTTTTAGGTACACTGATGGCTCAGCTTACGTTAATGTAGGACGAGTATTGGCACAGCGTTGCCTAGAAGCTGGAATCTGTGAGATGGAGGTTGATGATACTGCGCTAGTTGGAAATAAATGTGAATTGTTGATTCAGGAATTAGAAAAGGGAAACATAATCTTGACTGAACCGCCAATATATCGGTATCCAAATGCTTGGGATAGAGATTGGCCAGAAAAACCATGGGAAATCCATGAATAGCTTGTATAATGTAAATAGTAATGTATATAAATCAGTTGCGGAATGGAAAACAAAGAACAAAGTGTCATGTGTATGATATAATTTGAATGGAATTTCTTGTGAAAATGAGATAACACTTGGTGATTGATATAAGATATTTTATTATCTTAGTGTCTATCTACTGTGAAATACCAGGTTTTGTACATTACAGTATCTAGGAGTAAAAATAAATAATTGTATCGCTGTTAAATAAACTATCTGCTAGTCTGCTAGAACTGTAATACTATTACTTAGAAGCTATGTCACTACCTAAGGCAAGTACATTCCCTCAGATGCAATGTGAATGGAATGTTGTTACGTGATTTCTTATTGTAATGACTGTAATAGAAAATTTTAGTTAAGTATACGTACATGTACAGGTTGATACAGAAATAATTCTAAGAATTAATAGATCTGTCCAAATTGCATAAGTATTAGTAATATTAGTAATATTCCTGTGTCATTCTGTATATGTACATTAGAAAAATAATTTTGGATTTCTTTCAGTTTTCTAAAATCAGATTTTCTCCCTTTCATTCTCTGATGTTTGCATATAATAACGATAATATTCTATATATATTCAGACAATTGCCTTTATTTGTAGTATTTTTAAGTATCTCTCTTAAGTCTTTAAGTATTCTTAAAAGATCCACAATGTCACTTATTTATCCGCGCTATCTTGCAGATTGCTAAATTAAATCGCTCACTTTGAGCAAATAAATAAAATACAGTAAACATTTTAAATAATTTACATCACTATTTTTTTATATATTAAATAATTATTGCAACTACATATGTAAAGACCGATGTAATGATAAATTCAAAATAATTTAGCTGTGTTTCGCATCACGCGACATAATTAAATGAGTAATAAATATTTATTCCTTTTAAAATGTGCAAGATAAAGCAAGATGAGACATCTATGTATCTCAATGCGTTATCGTTAAATCGTGCTAATAAAAAACTTTTCAATTAGCTATACTCAATCATATTAATTCAACACGATACACCTTTCATGAGAATTTAAATGCGATTGAAGTTCATATTCCACTTTATCTCTCTTAATAAAAAAATGCATCAATTCAACAATTATAAGTCGTTTGTGAAACGCTTAATTTCTACGAACACACGATTAAAAATTTTTTTACTTGCTTAAGCTTTTTTTCGTAGGCCACAAATAATTTATGACAAAACGGACAATAAAATATAGATTACCTAATATTCTGACAAAGTTTACCTTTTAGCACTGAAAAGCTATCGCGATAATATTGCATAAACATTCATACACGCATACTCGCGGAAAAAAGATTCCACTAAGTAGATTTTAAAGAAAGAACAGTCATCGTTCAAAATTCATTGACTGTAAAACGATAATGCCGTTATTACCAGAATATAACTGTCAGCTATAAATACCTTCGATAATACGAGGACAAGTCCGGGAAGAAATTACGGGAAATAAAGAAATAAATAGTAACGCGCTATTTGCAAGTGTGTATATCGATATTTTTTACGCAGGTCTTGCACTCAACGAAGCAACACCAGTGAAACTTGCACTCGCACCTCTCTCTGACGGTCGACTTCTGCGTGTTGTATCCTCTACCGCAGCAAAGAAGATTGCATCCATCCATACCGGAGGAAGTTCTGTTGCATAATCTGCCCTGTGTGCCTGTTACAAAATGATCTTTTGTAAAGAGCACAATAGACTTTCAGGGAAAGCAAAAATATTCTAAATAAAAACATTCAAGTGTAATATCTTCCAAAAAAGAGAGAATAGATCTACCTAGTGATCCCAGAGTGTCATTCGGAAGGCAGTAGTTCGGCGAGTCATCCAGGTAGACCAAATCGTTCGCAGTCGGCACGGAGAATCTAGGATCTCGCATCGACAAGCGACCGCGCCGATTTACCTTGACCTCGGTCGCACCGTCGTACTTGTCCAACAAAAAATCGCCTGAAAATACGAAAAATTGTAACCCTTATCTACGTAAATACTTTCCGAGCAACAGTTCAGATGAAGAATAAGGGTGGTTAATCGTATAACACCCCAGACACTTACCGATCTCGCGAAACGACGCGAGCTGCTGCCAGCAGGTGATCAGGCTGCAGCTTCCAGAAACGCCGTGACATTTGCACGTCACCTTGGACCTTTTGATGACGGCCTGCGGGGGATGGACGATCGACGCGTTTAGTAGTTTCGCGCGCTTTGGCTTCAGCGAATTCATGTTGAATCGCTAAGAGATCGATACGCGCGCGTTTAACGCGACGCGACATTTAAAAGAGACATTCCTCGAGCTAAGAAAAGAACGAACTTTACCCTGCGCCCAGCCTCGTTGTTGTGCAGATTCATCAGACTCTTGCCCTGCTCCCGGCTGCCTCGCTTGAAGCTGCGCTCCCGCTCCCGCACATCAACGAATGCCTGCGTGAATCTGTAGAATCACAAACATATCTCAACCTCGTATCTCAGCGCTCCGACGGTGTGTTTCGTTTTAAAAAAAATCGAGGACAAATTATAAAGCTATTGGCTGGAAAGGAATTCATCTCGACAATGACGTATCTCACAATGATGTATCTCGACCATCACTATTATAAAATATATAACGACCAGTAATCATTATCTAAGCACGCTCGTTTCTCGCGACGGTCCATCGATTGGACCGTCATTAATCAAATACCGAAGACCGGTTACACTGTGTTAATCAGATGTAGAAGAGCTCGGAAAAATGATCGCGGAACATCCCCGCGCGCGTATCTTTTCGCGCTGGCGCAACATCTTATTACCGACGAAAACACGGCGCAAACCAGTTTCCCCGGCTTCTCCGTAACGTTCGTTAAGAAAAGGACGCGGAGAGAAAGGAAAGAGAAGGAGAGTCGAGTACTCGCCTGTATTCCCTCGAATCTTTAGCTATTACCGGAGCTTTTATAGGACCGGGGCTTATACGGGGATCTGGACGCAGGACGAAGCGTAACTTACTTGTAGCCGTATTCGAGATTGTCCCCGCATCCGCCCCAGATCCAGTCGCGATTCAGATCCCTCGGCCTGCTACTCCTGGAACAGCCGCACGACGAGAGCTGACCGTCCCGGCATGAACGGCTGATGGAGTAGACCACTCCGGCAGCGGTGATCGCATGAACGAATGCGGTTTCCCTGCTCGCTGCAACACACAGCATCCGTTTTTAACGATTAATGTCCATTTTTACACGAAAAGAACAGTTTTGCTGGCAAAATCTCGGTTTAATTTACTTTTTATCTCTTCTTAATTTTCTGAGACTTAGATTAAAATTAGTCTACTCATAGTAAACAAATGGATAAAAGAAACGAACGCTGTCGCTGCCTGCGTTTTTTCTCAGAGTGTTAGTACCTATTCTGAGTATCGGACCGAACACGGTCTCGTCGTGGACGGTGGAGCAGTTCCACCTCCTGTCCCTGAACTGATGCTGGCACTCCATCACGCCGTACTTCGCGCCCTTGGCCACGCTGAACATGTGGTCCACGGACAGCTGGCAGAGCTTCCCCTGACCCTGGGACAGGCCCCGCAGACCGACGCAGACCGTGGAGGCACTGGTGTCGAACGCCTCCATCGACTGTGCCTCTTCCAGTTGCGGCAAGTGTCGCAGACCCAGGTTTCTATCAGATACAAAGTAACACGGTTAAAAGCCTCCGCAACGTCGTGTTTCAACCTTCCTTCTTTGTTTTTCAAGGAGAAACACCGGTCGACCATTAGCTCTGTCGCGAGATCCTAGAATTCTCGTTTAGGAAGGGCTATTTCGACGGTCGTTTTGTGCCGCAGCAACATCGACTACGGACCCCCTTCTAAACTCCTGGAGATTTGTTACGGCGATTATATAAATTCGGTGCGGGGCGGCGAGAGACCGTCCGCGTCCGTGGGCGCGGAGCGGCCCTCGGATTTCCTCCTTAATGGCGCATTTGTGAGTCAACCGAGCGAGATGATGGAACGGCACCGTCAAAGACAGAAGCCGGGGGCCGGGCGCGGCCCCGGCAACGTACCCCGCCAATCTGAAATTCGAAACGGACAGCCGTCGTCGCGGGAGGAGCGAAGGTTCCAACATCAGAGTCCGTCGAGTTCGTAATCGCACCCTCCCCCCCCCTCCCCCCTCGTCCCTCACTCTCTTGTGCGTTTGTCCCCGACAGGATCATCTCTGGAAAATGGAATCGGAATCGCTAGCTGCTTTGGTAGGCTTCGACTTGGGAATTTAGATGACCGCAATTTCTACGATTCTACGTGACTTTAATAAATTATCCTTTCAACTCAGTAAGTGCAGCTACCGCACGCGCGATTCGTATTTTATTCAAACGGGACGAGATTTTAAAGCAAATAAATATTACATTGATATTTTACGCGAGAGAGGTATTTTCGTTCTGCGCCGAGCAGGTTTCACGCGGCGCGATTTAAAGGAGTAAACTTTTCAATCGTATCTCGTAATTTCCATCGTCCGGCCTCTCGATCACCTTCGTCCGGCCGCGATTTACGCAGTAAGCCGCGACAACCTGCACGGCGACTCGGTGCAACCTGGACGACCTGCCCAAGCGTGACTCAGGTGAATACTCGCCGGGATCGCCGGCGCGGCCGCTTGGGACGCGCCAACAACGTGCGTTATTCCTCGGGAATTTCTACGTGGCAATGATCGAGGATTTCATCACAATTTCGTCAGGTCGCCGGGGATATAAATTTCGCGTCGAGAAATCGAGTGACCGAGAAACGTGGTGCGATAAGCAGGATTTATCAGCAGGACGACGAACGAACATGAGGAGCCACTTCGAAGTGAGGAAAAAGGAATGCTCGTCCTCGAGATGTTCTCTTCTGCGTCCAGCATCGGAAAACAAAATCCCGAGATGTTCTCCCCTTCTATCGAGATCCCAAGTATCATCGCGATCGAGAGAGAAAGAGGGAGAGAGAAGTCGTAAAAGCGTCTAGGGAGTGTGTGTAATAGACGACATTAATATTCTGGAACACGCTCCGGCGACGATATATCATCGGCTTTACACTCCCCTAAAACAATGGCGCGGACAAACCGCGCTGACCGGCGGAGTGAGAAGGGGGGAAGGGGGCACGCGGTAGAAAGAGCGATAATATTTCGACGGGGTACGGCCCACGCGCAACGCTCGCGCGCGCGGGGCACCATCGTCGCGTCGTGGGCCGCGGGGCCCGCAAAATAATGCCCCGTGTCTCCTAAGAGATTGCGGCTACATCCGCAGCGACGCGCGTTCGCATATATACGGGGTGTCCCGAGGCAATCGCGAGCCGCGGGCGACGAAATGGGAGCTGTCAGGTATAAAGGATCGCGCCGAGTAATTAAGCAACGGGGACGATTAATAGAGCGACAGATAGAAATTACACGTTCGCGATAAGAGGAATCGGACTAATGGGGCACACGTCGGAAGTGTAAACGATTTCCGCCATAATTTTTACAGCCGTGCTAATTTTCACCGCCATATTAATATAATTTTTCTCCACAGATTAACCGACGAATAAGAAGGCATTCGAAAATCAGGAAAACTTTACGGAGGCTTTCGTAAGAGGATTTCAGGGCAGAAAGGCAGCCGACGAGAATTTCCTCGCGAGAGATAGGGAGGTATAAATTCGGCGCGAAGGAGGTCCGGGGTCGATCCGGACGGGCATACAAAGGAGCGCGGGCGTCCGGGACCATTCGGTGATTGGTCATGCTCACGCGGGGTAGAACACAGGGGACAGAATGGCAATTCAGAGATTAGACACACTCCCGGCGAACGGAGCAGGGATACGAGCGACACGGGAAACGATCTCGTGGAGAGAGAGAGAGAGAGAGAGAGAGAGAGAGAGAGAGAGAGAGAGAGAGAGAGAGAGAGAGAGAGAGAGAGAGAGAGAGGAGGAGGAGGAGGAGGAGGAGAGAGAGAGAGGAGAGAGAGAGAGACGAGTAGACGGAGTAGAGTAGACGTACGAGTAGACGGTACGGACGTACGTACGGACGGAACGGTACGTACGTAACGTACGACGTACGTCGAGTAACGTACGTAACGACGGTACGTACGACGTAACGCGTAACGTACGTATACGAACGGTACGATCGAATCGACGTTACGGTACGTACGTACGTACGTAGTACGTAGTAACGGTACGTACGGTACGTACGTTACGGACGTACGTACGTACGTACGGTACGTACGTAACGGTAACTAACCGGTTACGGTAACGTACGTACGTACGGTACGTAACGTACGGTAACGTACGGTAACGGTAACGGTACGGTAACGGTACGGTACGTACGACGTACGTACGAGACGTAGTAGAGTACGACGACGTACGTAGACGAGTAGTAGACGAGAGACGTACGACGTACGACGAGACGACGACGAGAGAGACGACGAGAGAGAGAGAGAGGAGAGTAGAGAGAGGAGGAGAGAGAGAGAGAGAAAGGGGGTGGGGGAGAGAGGGGTTTTTGGGACACGAAAGATTCCCACGATGCCCGTGGGCACAAAGGCCCATAAATTAGGAATCGCGTGAAGAATCGCTCGACTCGTCTCTTCGGCAACGTGTCAACTTAATCGCCGAACGATCGTCGTCGCGCAATTAACGTTCTCGGCAAGATGAGATCGCGAGTAGATTATGTTTCCGTGATGAAAATATCGAGGCGATTCGAGATGACGGGGTAATCATGCGAATGAAAAGCGTACGATTCCCGAGCGGGAGCGAGCGAGCGAGAGACCAAGCTTCGCGATCTCACCTTTAATGAGGGATATAAAGAAGCGGAAATTATCCTCGAGATAAACCGCTCGTTTAACAGTTCGATGAATTAATTTGTTCGCTAAATTAACCTATTCGCTCGCCTCTCTCGATATTTTTCGCGTACAATAAAAAAATTTCAATTATCCGAGATCCAATATCGGGGATGACGGTGTCCGGATCATCGAAAATTCAATGAAACGTCGTTCGGATAATGGAGCTCCCATCGTCAGAACGACGCCCCAACCGTCGTCAGTTCATCCTTCGATCGGCGATATGTAGGGCACCCCTTGTCCTTCGACGTCGATTTATTTTAAGAGTCGAGCCAGCCTAATGAAAAAATATAATCACGTCCCGTCAAACTATAAATACGCGCGTGAAACCATTAACACCTTCGACGTGCGATCGTCTGATTGCTAGAGATTTGAAACAAAAAAAAAATACGCCACGTTACACGACACGAAAAATACTTACATCCAAGTCCCCGGTACTGTCGTGACGGCGGCGGCGGCTGCGACCATCAGCGACTGCAGGATCACGAGTGGACCATTTCCACGCATCGTCATCCTTCTCTTTGTCCCTGTAAGCGTTGGAAAAAAAAACCGGCAATTACATCAAATTTTCGCAAAGCGAGCGGAGGCTCTCCGTGCGGGCATTTATTAATCGCTTCATTAGACCGCCTGCGCGGTCGACTGTAAATCGTGCCTAGTCGATCGCAAAAGGAACGGTGAAATCAAGGTCAGTTCGAGGCATCGCACGAATACCGGCGGAAAAATCAAATCTTAATTAAAGACCACGCTCGACCGGAGCAACCGCTCGCGAAACCTGGAAATCGGGGAAATCGAAGAACGGCACTTCGGCCCGATCAAAGTTAAAATTAAGGATAGCTTAATTGAGGATCTGATAACGTAGAATGTATTTGCCATTTTTGCGATCGTACACTGAATGTTATAATCATGGAAAACCGCATGGAAAGAACATTTTTTTTGCCAAATCTAAAAGTTTGATCAGATTTGAAAATAATTTTGTTGGACCATCAAAATTATTATATAGGACGCTTAATTAAACACGATAATAATACTGCAAAATTTTTTAATTTCCCAGCAACCAATTTCAACGTCGAAAGTAATTTTAAGGGCTCAACAAAATTATTTTCAGATTTGTCTGGCGAAATTTTTAAGACTTGTCAGCAAAATTGGTTTTCCCATGTGGCATTCGTTACGTACAGATTATTTAGATATGAAATGTGACAAGATCATAAGCAATCCGCATGTGTGGCTGGATCAATTGCGATTCATCTATTGATGATACAGTTTCATTATTATATATATAGACACGGAATGACAAGAATAATTTCTAACCGTGATCAATCCTGTCCAGACCGATAACTACACGAACATATGAGGCAGAATTTTTTTCTCTCGGATAAATCGCGTGGTTCTTCTTGGCGTCCGGATAGAACGCGTGTTATTTAGTTGTCGGGGCTACGGACTACGGACCAATTGATAGTCTCTGCGAATTGTAACTCAACGCTCGCCGCGATATCAACAGTTTGCGCAACGTGAGAGAGCGACGTCGCGTACGGGCTCGCGCGCAAGGTGTAATGTCGAGGCGATGTACCATAATCGTCCTGGGACTCGGTTGTCCCCTCGTCCCGAGGTCAGCCCGAAGCTGGCGAAGCTGGCCTCGCTTCGAGCTGCCCACGACGGGCACAGTGACGTAGCCGAAACGTGCGCGAGCCCGCGTGCGAGGCTTCGTCTCATCGTCGCTCCTACGTCTGCTTTCATCTCGAAAGTCGAGTATCACCTTGACGATCGTGCCGTGTAAATATCGTCAAGTGTCAACTCTTACGAGGTAACGGTGTTAGCGTTGGTGCGACGCGAGAACATTTCGTTAATCCGATCTAATAATTAGTTCAGGTTCACGATGTCCCCCGAGAGCTGAAGAAACTTTCTTCTCCGTCGGCGGCGATGGCACGCGTGAACGCGATCCCCGATTCTTATTTCCTCGCGGAATTCATGTCTTTCGCGCGGCGAGGGAAAGGCGAAACGGTAGCTTCTTTCGTGGACCGCTAGCTCTCACTGTAAACGCAATGGCCGTACATCCCTGCCTACTGGAGGAACTGGTATACACTACACACAAGTATGGTACATAACGCGCAAGGTGTGTGTGTGTGTGTGTGTGTGTGTGTGTGTGTGTGTGTGTGTGTGTGTGTGTGTGTGAGGAG